AGACCTGGACAGGCTGGAGCCATGGGCTGAGGCCAACTGGAGGAGTTTCAATGAGGCCAAATGCCGGGGGCTGCCCTTGGGCCACAACAACCCCCAGCAGCGCTACAGGCTTGGGGAGGATTGGCTGGAGAGCTGCCAGTCAGAGAGGGACCTGGGGGGGTGATTGACAGCCGGCTGAACAGGAGCCAGCAGTGTGCCCAGAGGGCCAAGAAGGCCAATGGCATCCTGGCTTGTGTCAGCAATAGCGTGGCCAGCAGGGACAGGGAAGGGATCTGACCCCTGTACTCGGCACTGGTGAGGCCCCCCCTCGATTCCTGTGTTCAGTTTTGGACTCCTCACCCCAAAAAGGAGATAGCGTTACTTGAACATGTCCAGAGAAGGGCTACAAAGCTGGTCAAGGGTCTGGAACACATGTCGTATGGGGAGCGGCTGAGGGAACTGGGGGTGTTTAATCTGGAGAAGAGGAGGCTGAGGGGAGACCTCATCAACCTCTACAACTATCTGAAAGGAAGCTGCAGAGAGCTGGGTTTGAGCCTCTTTAGCCTAGTAGAAGGCGACAGGACAAGAGGGAATGGCCTTAAGTTGTGCCAGGGAAGGTTTGGACTAGATATTAGGAAGCATTTCTTTCCAGAAGGGGTTGTTAGGTGTTGGAATGGGCTGCCCAGGGAGGTGGTGGAGTCCCCATCCCTGGAGGTGTTCAAGAGTAGGGTCGACTTTGAGCTTAAGGATATGCTGTAGGTGGGAACTGTGCTAGGCAAACGGTTGGACTAGATGGTCTCCAGGGTCCTTTCCAACCTAGATGATTCTATGATATAAGTGATACATGCTTTTTTTCTGCCTAAGGATTTCCCTTGCATACAACAGCAGAAAAACAAGCAAAAACAATTTTCTCTTTTTCCCTTGAAAAGCAAAGTCCTTTTTCCTAGCAAGATTAATTTGTCAACTAATCTTAGAGCAAACAAGTTATTTTAATCTATCATTGTTTCAGTCTGTGGGTTTAGCAGAGGTCAGAAAAAGAGATTCATTAAAGTGATAGTGCATTTGTTTTTCCAAAACCACATCAGAAGATTTGCCAAAGAAAATAAAGAAATACAGTATTTCTTTTAATACACTTTACCTAAATAAAGTCTTAAAATCACGTGCCTTAACCCAGATGGGGTGTTTGCAGTATAAGGTACAAGTTGTGTAATTTCTACTATCTGAAAACTGCTTAAATGAGCTCCCCTTCAGCTATGCCATTTATTCCATACCTAAGGTGATGTTACTCTGGTCCCTTCTCTGATGTAGAGCCATCATTGAGCTGACTGCCAGTGTGTTTGTGCAAGTCTGTTTGCTTATATAAAGAACCTATTTAAGCTTCTCCACCCAAGAAATTCATGTTGATTTTGGATAATCCCTGGGCAATTTTATTCTGTAAAATAAATAAATAAATCTTCCAAACCTCTCACACATTTTGGACTATTAGAAGTGTAGGATTTGTGTTGGGAAACATGAACTGACATGTAGTGTGGGCAATTTTATATTTGTCCAGAAGTAAAATAGGATGCATATTTCAGTATAGGGTTATGTGACGTTGGAGTTTCACCTGACAAGAGTGCAGGGTCAGTTGGTAATGAGGATAGTTTAGCATGTGGATCACCAGACCCCGCTCTGCACACTCATCCTCCACTGTGGCTTCTCTAGTAGTGCCAATGTGATTTAGTTTGACAACAAACCAGTATTTCAGAAGAAAAGGAAAAGCAATATTAAACAGCTGAAACAATTATTTGGGGTCAGCATTGGCTGTCAGGACTCGCTTTCAGTCTAGGAGAGATTGTACGTGTGTGTAACACGGGCCAGTAGAGGTGGGAATCTGGGCATCCTCACCCCGAGTGGTGCTGAGCTGAGCTGCACTGAGGATGCTTTGGCCAAGTGTAGTAGAACAGGTCTCTGTGATCATCATTAATCATAACTAACCCATTCAGTTAAAAATAGCTTCTGCAAGCTCTGCTCTCCCCTGCTCCCTTAAGGAAACACTAGTGCACAGGCTTGAGTTGAGTATGCTTCAAGTCCTAAACTCAGATCTGGGCAAATGCGAGGAGGAAAAAGCCCTTAGTTTCACTCTACTCTTAATCCCTATGCATATACTTCCTCGAGGTTCTTGCTTTGGCAGCAAAACTGGTTCTGAACAGACACATCTTTGCTGAAGTCAGTAATAGCTATGAATAGTTGCCCTGATTATCTATGCTGCTCTTTATTAGGTAACTAAATATTAAATCTGATGTCTTAAATAACTGAAATAATTAATTGTATTTGTCTAACATAGGTAGCTATCTTAACTTGGAAAATGTTGAGACTGGGTTAGGCTGTCTTTGCTGTATTGTTTATTGATTGCACTGCGGCAGTGTTGTGCATCTCTTGTAGCAGATACTGAATTCATGTAGTGAAAAGCAGCTGTTAACCTTATGAGACTGAACAATACCAAAAAAGATGGGTTTGTTTCCTGCATGGTTTCTGGGGTCTTGTAAACCATGAAAAGTTTTCTAGAAGACTTACACACCTACTTTACCTCCTCTTCCCTTGCTCTAACCTGGGAATAAGCTGAAATTCTTGTAAAATCACTTATTTTCAAGAGTTAAATCTATGAATGGATAATCAAACATTGAAAGACATGCTGATAAATCACTGGAGACGGCAGTGACTGAGTAAAACAGTATGGCAATGACAACAAACGTTTTCAAAGGAAAACTGACCTTCTCAACCCAACACACAATAACATACATATATGCAACATATAATACACTCTCACTTGTTACTGTATCCAGTGGGCTGTCATATTTCTAGTGTTCTGTGGTTTATGTGTTATATATACCCTTAATTAGACTTGTGATGTAGGCAGCCCGCTCCTGCATGAGGTTAATCTGCTGTGTAAATAAATAAAAGGTAGGAAAGACAGCTTTTGTTAAAGATAGAACTAAGTTTAAAAACAATGTTTTGGCCTTAGGCTTTTATTTAGGGTTTCATAAAACAGAACAAGTTGTTTTCCATTACTTGTACAAAGCTTAATAGGCAAAATATTACTTCTTTTCTCATTTTTCATTCCTTGAATGTGTTTTAGTAAACCCCTTTTTTTATTTAAACTACTATAAATTATGCTGGGATATGGTCATTACTACTTTTAAATAGAAATATTAGTTTAACTGAGGAACTTCTTTGTTGTGACCTCTGTGGTAGCTAGTTTAAGCTCAGAAAAAGAGGCATCAGAACACATGCTTTAACAATTATTTTTCTTCAAAAGGTTATGTTTCATACAGATGATCAAAAAGGCAATATAGTGCCAGCCCACTTAGGCTACCAATTAATACTACCACTGTCAACCTCCCAATAACTTCACTACAGTAACATTTGTAATTTTTAGCAGTTAAGGTTACTGATACCACATGCATATTAAAAAAAACAGTCAGCCTTTATAATTTGATGAACTATGTTCACAGACAGAGGCAGAAAGGCCTCTGCTATCACTTTCTCCAAGCAGGTACAAAACCAGCTACATCTGAAATAGATGTAACGCTGCTAGCTTTCTCTTACAGTAGTTTGTCAGTGCTTCTCAGTCTCTTTAATGTATTTTTACAGTGTCTTTGCCTGATGGGTACTTTCTTCCACATCAATTTTTCACATAGGGAACTGATGCAGAGGATGTCAAAAGAAACCAAGTGGGAAATTAAACACTTCATACTTGGTGGGCTCGTTAGGGCTGTGTGTTAACTACCTGTGTTAGCTGCTCCTGACGTTAGAGGTGGGTGGCTTTTGCCAGGAACTTAAATGCTGTCTGCAGTACCATGGCTCAGTAATGAGCTAGTCCCCATCGTGTGTCTGAACCTTGCTGCAAGGAGATCTAGCTTATTTGAGGCTAAAGCTGCATTGCAGGTAAACATGTAAGGAGTGTAAAAGATCCAAGTGTTTAAACTGGAGTATGAAACCAGGCCCTGAGATAATAGCATGGATTTAAGAGATTAAGTGATGCTAATACCAGTACACCTCTTTCAGATAAGTCATAGGCATATTTTCCTTCATGCCTTCTGCCTCTTTCTTTTTTTTTTTTTAGTATATTTTTTACAGTCTTTTCCATCAAGTAGTCCAGATTAAATTGGAGTGCTGTATCTTTAATAGGTACTTTGGTGGGTAGAGCACTTTTCTATCAGAAAAAGATCTGTGAACCCTCTTAGATTGGGGAACTTGAGACCCATGTCACCCACCTCATGAGCAAGAGGTAAAGATGCCCAAATTGCTGTAAATTCTTACAGGCACCAAATCATCCTTGTTGGCTGGTCAGGAAGTGAGTAGTGAAGGCCTCATCATAAATGATTGCCCACACTCCTCTCGGAGGTCCCTGATAAAACAGGAATGAAATTGTACAGTAACCTAGAACCATGAAGCTCTAATTTGATCTTCCTTCTTGTAGCTGGATGGACAGTGATAAAAACCTGCATAAATAGGTGTAGTTTATGTAAATGATAGTGCTCCATATTGACTCATATGCATTTCATATTTTTCCTCATTCCATGGGACTTTCCTCTGCATCTACACTTTGAGACAGGAGATTTTGGATATCTGCAGGTTCTTAGTGCATGCTAATATATATGATAATTAGTGTGAAAGGGACTCTTGTTCCTGGGCAGTATTGCTGTTGTAGGTCCTGATCTGTAAAGTTGAATTGGTTTAAGCTGAACTAATGCCTTGAGTTTGGTCTTGTTCTAAATGAAGGGCAACTCAATGCTAGATGATGTGCCATGAAGCTCCACATGTTTCTGTATCCTTTCCAGCTTCACATCCTGTACATGTGATTCATCAGTCTGTATTTACCAGTGATGGTAACTTAAAATTACTTTTTTAAGTTTGTTTGTTAGGTTTTTCTAATTAATAAGTTTATTTATTTCAGAGTTTTGCAAAGAAGTGGAAAAACTGAGATAGTTGAAATTCCTGTCATTAAAACAAAGGACTTTTTTTCTTCTATGTTTCAGACACAGATATTAAGGAGCTAGAGGATGTTTTTGGACTTAACGGACAAGTAGAGCATAAGCTGAACTTCCTCAAAAAGAATGTATCAAAAGATATAAAGCTGGTACTGATTGCTCATTCTATTGGTTGCTACATCACATTGGAGATGATGAAGCGAGCATCAGAACTTCAGGTACATTAACCTTATAGCATGGGAATTACATTATTAGCAAAGCAGTGCACATGCTTAGCCTGTGGGTAATGTCATGTCTTTCCTGTGGAAGCTATATTCTGCTATATACAAACTTTCAATCCTAGTTCTCATTAAAATGAAATAAAAACATTAATCACTAATCCTAATAACATACAATCAAGTAGTTTAATGTAAAGTTCTTACTCTCAATTTGCAGCTTTAAATGCCCTTGTAATATAAATGATTAATAATGGTGATAAATATATTTAGGACTTCCATGTTGTCTTCTCATCTTTAAATAATTTGTGAACAGATCACTAGATATTTGACCATTATGTTATTACACCAAAAATTAAGACTGGTTATGATTTTAATAGCAGTTTCTTATCACAAGGCAAGCAGATTGCTGGCTGTACATGGGAAAATACATGGAAAAGAATAGTAATATAAATTGTGATGAGTACTACTATGTGAAGGACATTGTTTTTAAAATTTAATACATATGCATATATCATTGCTTCTGCAGCTCAGTCTTGATTTGTGTAACTTGATGAGAGTGAGAAGTGTTACTGCATGTTCTTGTTTATCTGAACATTTCTCTGTCACTGTGAAGCAGTAAGAAGGCTGAGGCAGGGCCATGTCCTTGCAACTCTGGAAATCTCAAACTGTTACTGCTCAGTAATAACTCAGTCTACTGGTGGATGATGAATGAAGAATACTGCATTTTTATTCTTAAACATTCACTCTTGTTAAATCATTGCCTCTTCCTTTACATTATAAAATCTTCAGTGGAAGGAAATGCAGTGTTAGCGTAAAGTCTGTGCTGAATATATGCATGAGTAGGTTCTTCCACTTCTTCATTTCCACTACATGCCTAACTTTTTTTTTTCCTTTAAAGGAAACAGCAACTAAAAACGTGAAACATGAGATTAACCTGATATATTTCCACAGGCGTATTTCACTTTGTGATTAGAAACAAGGGCATTTTTGGAGAGAACTTTTATTACTGTTTTATCTTTTCAAGAGGGAGTGTTCTAGAAAATATCATATGCAGTAATTTGTCCAAAAATACCAACTTTTCTTTAGTCAACATCTGTACAGTCTTTATTGCACAAATGATTTTATCTGGTTTCAATTAAACTATGAATTGTTGAGTAATTTTTTTACACCTGGCTCACTGGATGCTGGCAGCTTGCTATTCATCAGTGTTTTGAAATGTAGGTATCTTTGGGACACTCTTAGACTGCATGGTGCACTGAGTGCATGAAGTTAACATATGACAAGCTACATTTAGGATGCATTTAACAATAGAAAATATTTGTGTAAGCCAGAGTGTTGTGCAATCTTTGTCCCTTTGCCAAAAATAAGTTAACTGTTAGGCTTTATAACATATGAAGTGTAATAATAAGAAACTCGTGTTTCCATCTCTCCCTTTATTTTTACTGGAATATTTGGTTCCCACAAGATTTTGAGCACATATGTGTATTTTAGTAGCTAGAGCATTTGATTTTATTTTTGTGTAGTTCTTATGTGATATTCTTTTATTATACGAGTTTTGGGTTTAGTCTTAAATTCTCTGCTTTAAGAGCCTTTGGTTGCTTACAGTTTATTATTCTGAGCTAGAGGTTAATATGTTGTATTTATTGTTCAAATAATTCAGTACATTTTTATATTTGGAGTGTATGTTTAGCAGATTTTTTGTTACCCAATTTGAAGTCCCTTGATAATCTAACCAAATAGAGACTAGATTGTCCCTCTCTTGTACAGTGATAAGGGAATCTGATGACTTGAGACATGCATGAAAAGGAGAAAATACTATCTCCTTATCTCTCCTTCTTGGTTGCTCTTCATCTGTTAGTTTTGAATTCTGATAATCTCTTGGGCCCTTGTGCTCTCCAGGTAAATGGAGTACTGTGTGTTTCTTTTCTTAAACTTGTGTGAAATAATGCTTTCTTATTTCATTAAAAGAGAAATTAAGCAGGAATTTGCAGTTTACCCAGGATAGATTAATTTTGGACCCCATCCCTATTTTTCTACTGACTCTTAGGGAGGCTTCTGTTAACAGTTTCTTCAGGAGACCCCTTAACACAAACTTGGTCTTAGGTTGATGCCTTTAACTAAGTCTGAGTAGTAGAGAAGGGCTGCACAGGTTACATACATACTTGTAACTAAGTGGGGCTACTGCATGGATTTGAGTACTGGGCCAGCTATGCAGTGACATTTTTGGACGAGTCTTTACGAGATGTTTTGGCCCAAAGCAGTCAGCAACTCCCAAACAACACCCTGGCATGGTTCTGGGCTTGGCAGAAGCCCTGGACCATTCCCAGTAGTTCGTTTGGACGTAGACACCCTATTTTGAGGCAGGAGGAATTCTGCCATGTGGACACAGGCCATCCCGTGGTGTACTGCTCAGTGACAGGACCAGGGAATAGTTCCTGGCCAGTCTGTTTTCTGGTACACTTGTAACCATGAACACTTCTCAGTTATCATGGTGAACATCAAATCTTAACAAGATTCGCCTCTTCATGGCAACTGGAGCATCCAGAGTTTGTCAGACTGCTAAAAAATTTTGACTCTGAGAAGGAAAAATGTTAATCAGCCTTACTCTGGGGAGATAGAAAACTACAATAATGTACAGTTTACTTGATACTTGTTCTTAATCTCATAATCTTCTTTGCTCTTCATTCAGCTAGCAGAACTGAAAAATGAAGCTGAGTGACAAAATTATTTTCTCAATTGTTGGAGCTTGAGCCTCATATATATGCTACATCCTCCAGGCATTCTATTCTAAAATACAAGTCCTTACTTGGAGGATTTCCTTGTGCTTAGCTGGTGACACTACTGTTTCCTAAAACACTTTCTTTGGTCATTAATTTAATCAAAAGATTGACACATTTCCTTGCTAATGAAATTCAGTCTGTTACAGTATTAGTCTTTCATTTTGAAATGACAGCACCTTTGTGGTAATAAATTAACACTTACTAATGAGCTCATACAGCTCATTATATAAGCATTGCTCTTCCTGTAAAACTCATTGAGGAGGAAGACTTTAAAACCTCTGAGTATGTATCAGTTTAAGCAAATAAAATTTCTGTAATATGTAATTCAAAACCATACATTGCTGCTATGTCTCAGTAGTAAAACATAGGTTGGGATGGTTGTGTATAAAACAAGTTTATACCTCAAAAACCCCATTTTATCATTTCTGTGCACGCCTTCATGTGCATCTGCCTTAGCTTTCCTTCGCTTTGTACTCTTCAAAACAAAAATCTGTTGGTCTGTACTTTCTTTTGAGAATTCTGATGAGTGTAACAAAATAACATAGTTCACATTTAACAATTCCACAAATTTATATAGTAACATAACCATATTACATGGGATTTTGTTTGTCTGTATATGAAATGCATTCAGGTCTTTCACTTAAGGAGCTACAACTTTTTAGGATCTGGTAATGTATGTAGCTTAGAAGGTTTCTGCAATGTGTCTTACTCTCCATAAATCAGTACTGACTTTTACCCATCAGGAGGTTGTCCACTAACCAAGCTTTCTTCAGTTAAGCAAACATTTCTTCATTGCCGACTATTCTAAATTGTTTTATGATGTGTAATGTGTTGGTGCTATTCATTACTTTTTATAAATAACTTAAACATGCCTAACAGGAGGTACCAGACATTTTTGTTAACCTTCTGAATTACTGAAATTGGCTATGTATCTCTGCTATTGGTTTTCTGTCTGTTTAGCCACTTTCTAATCCATAGAAAAATGTTTCTCTCACCCATTATTAGTGGTGCCAGGGATTGAATTACCTCAGTGTGAAGCATTTTGTTGGAGCTATTTGGATAGTTATTTTAGGTGATGCTCCTATATGTGCATAGTAGCTTGCTTGCTTTCTTCTTTTTAAAATTGTTTAAAATAGTTAAAAAAGCAAAGGAACTTTCATCTATAAAACATTATTGTTGTCACTTCTGATCTTAGAAAAAGCCAGAAATATATTTTATCATTTGTTTTTAAATTGAGCTGACAGTAGATTAGTCTTCTGTCATTCCAAAGTTTCTGTTGTTGCATTGTTAGTAATGGGGCCTTTTATTACCCTTGGTGCTCCCCCAAATCACACCTTTAGTGTGACATATGTAGTCCTCATTTTGTGGCTTCATACTTGAACCAAAAGGCCACGTTCCATCTGTTGTGAACAGCTTGCTTGGAAATATTGATGGCCTACAGGTACACAACAGAACGACAGATGTCAAGACTCTGTTAGCTTTTTTTTTATTCTATTGTCTAGAAATGTGCTTCTTCCCAATTACCTGCAGCCCTTCGCAAGACATCTTAGTGGGAGAGACATCTCTGCACATGGACCTTCTGACAAAGACATTGATTGGGATATAAAATTTCAGAAAAGCTCTACTCTTTACCATCTCTTGGCCAGGGAATTTCTTTTTTTCAGCGTGTATATATATATATAAAAGTAGTTTTAAAAGAAGCTTTACTAAAACAGTGAAAAATGGTAATAGATAAGTTTTCATTTCAGTGTATCTTTGTATGCAACATAAAATGCAATAATCACAGAAGAAATTAAAGAAATCTCTCTTAAGGGTTAAATGTATGAACATCTATCCTTTTTTTTTTTCTTTTTTTTTTCCCAGTAAGGTAGAAGATTAAGTTTAAAGCAAATTAGCTATTCCTGAACAGGTCATGTAAAACATTCTGGTTCTAAACCAAATGTCTTTTACTGACATAGCTTAATCTATTTTCAGAATAATTTAAGATAATTGTTTTGAATGTATTCTAGATTCATTCTGGACAAGAGTGTTCACACATGAAGTTACTCAGGTATATTTCCATGTTTAGATATTCTTTTACTCAGGTTTTAATTTACCAAGTCTGTTGGTCAACATCAGTTCCATAAGTATCAAAGTTTTCCCAGAGTTTACTGGCAGAGATAATCTCTTTTTGAAATAAAGTTTCCCAAAGAGAGAAACTACAGATAGGTGTCTTTTAGGTTTTTTGTCTTTTTTAAAGCTTTT